TGTTTCCTGGGAAATGGAACTGAGCATTGTCCCGGCTCTCCATCTCCCTGCAAATCTTGAGTGCAGCACGAGGCTGGAGCTGGAGCTTTCGGTACATCCTTAATTTCCGTGCCAGGGAAGAGAGTTCTCCCCGGGTTCTGCAGTTTCCCAAGGGATTTTCTCGTGTTAGAAATCGAGGCCCCACCTTTGTGCAGCTCCTCGTGTGCTGCTGTTTGTCTTGGTTGTTGATTTTCCCTCCTGCTCACAGGTTCTGTGCTTTGAACCTGGAATCCTGGAATGCTTTGGGGTCAGAGGGACCCTAAAAACCTTTTCCCAAAGACAGGGMCACCTTCCCCAATCCCAGGCTGCTCCAGCCTGGCCTCAGCGCTGCGGCAGCCACACCTTCTGCAAGCAGAGGGATTTCTAAGCCTCACTTGGGGTTTTTTTGTTCTTATTTGTGGMCGTGGCAGGAGGATTCGGGAGCTGAGAAGGAGAACACGTCGGTGCTGCAGCAGAGCAGCTCCCTGGCGGGCAGCAGGAACGGCGAGGAGAACGTCATCGACAACCCCTACCTGCGACCCGTGAAAAAACCCAAAATCCGCCGCAAGAAATGAGCRGGGCACCCCAAATCCCTTGGGCTGCTCCACGAGAAATGCAGAGGGATCAGTCAGGAGAGGCCAAACCAGCTGAGGAAGGATCTCTGTGCTGATGGGAACTCAGCTCCCATCCCGCTTTCCTGAGCTCCCTCTTCCCTCTGCTCGCTGGGATGGGCCAGGAAAATCTTCTGGGAGCAGCTTGGGGGATTTTGGGGATGGGAATTTGCTGTCAGGAGAGCTGAGGGATGCAGGGCTTGGAGCTGGAGGACATGGGGTAGAATTGGAGGACACAGGGGTGGGATTTGGAGGACAGGGGGGTTGGATTTGGAGGACACAGGGGTTGGAGCTGAAGGACACACAGGATGGATTTGGAGGACACAGGAATTTTTTCTGTTCCCACTGTGGGACACAGGGCTTGGATTTGGAAGACACAGGGATTGGATTTGGAGAACACAGGGGTTGGATTTGGAGGACACAGGAGTTGGAATTGGAAGACACAGGGATTTTCCTGCTCCCACTGTGGGACACGGGTTGGAATTGAAGGACATAGGGATTGGATTTGGAAGATACCAGGATTTTCCTGGTTCTGCTGTGGGACACAGGACATGGAGCTGAAGGACACTGGGGTTGGATTTGGAGGACACAAGGATTTTCCTGCTCCCGCTGTGGGACACAGGGGTTTGAATTGGAAGACACAGGGATTGGAGCTGAAGTACACAGGGGTTGGATTTGGAGGATGAAGGGATTGGATTTGGAGGACACAGGGATTTTCTTTGTCCTGCTGTGGGACACAGGACTTGGACCTGAAGGACACAGGGGTTGGATTTAGAGGACACCTGGGTTAGATTTGGAGGACACAAGGATTTTCCTGCTCCTGCTGTGGGACACAGGTGTTGGAATTGAAGGACAGAGGGGTTGGATTTGGAGGGTGCAAAGGATTGGATTTGGAGGACACAGGGGTTGGATTTGGAGGACACAGGGGTTGGATTTGGAGGACACAGGGATTGGAGCTGAAGGACACAGAAGGTGGATTTGGAGGACACAGGGATTTTCCTGCTCCCGCTTCCCATCAGAACACAAAAGCATCTCAGTGTGTTCATGCCCAGCAGGCTGGAAAAGAACCTTCCACCAGCCCTGAAATCTAAAAAATGTATCTTAAAAAAGACACAAAACTCCTGGGAAGGTTCCTCCCTTTGCCTTCTTGGCAGGTAAAAGCAAACAAAGCTTTTCTTTCATAACCTGGAGGTGTCTGAGGGAGTGAAGTGTAAATACYGAGCTCTGAGGACGTTTCATTCCCACTTTGCAGCTGCGTTGGGGATTGAAAACCTCTCAAGTGTGCTGCTGGTGTTTACCCTGCCCTGCTCTGAGATCCTTTTCATGTCCCAGCTGCTTCAGGCTCCGTTTCAGTTCATTGTTTTCCACACAGCTCAAGTCCTTGGAGAGTTCCCACCTTCCCCATTTGTTTTGGAAGCTGGAAAATGAAGCAGAGCTGTGCTGATGGCAGCACTGATCACACTTCTTGCATTTTAGCTGCTCTCAAATGGGTGGTTTTATCAGCAAAAGGTGATATTTTTTCCTTTATTTTACCCCATTATTTTTATGGGAGTGTTGTCATTATTGGCAGGTTCTGGAGGGCTTTGCTTTCATTTTTCCTCAGCGTTTTCTTAGGAAAATATGGGTTAAATTGCCTTGAGAAAAGATTCCTGTGGTTTGGGCTCCCAAGTTCTCCACCAYGCAGTTAAAAGGATCCTCCCTCTTCCCTCATCACCCAGGGASGAGGAAAATAAAAATAAATTCTTTTTTTTCAATGAAAACGGAGATGTTGCTACCAAAAAAATCTGAAATTAAAACCCCCCTGTGTGTGCCATTGTCACTTCTGCTGGTGCCTTGCTTTGTATAGAATGACAAATGTACAGACACACCCTGTATATGTTTGTATATATCTGAAAGGTTTATCTTTTTTTACTTCTTTTTGTTGTCTGCAAGGAGAATAAAATCCCTCGCTGGGTAGGGGAAACAAAAAAGTGGAATGAAAACTGTAATTTTTATGTTCATAATAAAAGAAATTTTATCTCCTACGAGCAAAACTGAGTCCTTCATGTTTCTGGTGTGGGGATACACCTCATATATCATTCTTTTTTCTGATTGGAAAAAATAAGGTGGAGGTGAACCCCAATGTCAGCCAGGATTACAAAAGTGAGGCCTTAAACAACCTAAAACGTAAAAATTTTAGGACAAGAAAAATTTCAGAGAGCCAAATTCCCTCCTCTAAAATCTTGTACCAAAAAGGGACAGATGTGACCTAAAAACTCAGGCCTGGAGCAGCTGTTGCACAGCTGTGAGAGCTGCTGAAAGTGGGAATTGGAAGAATAAATGTTGGTTTTATGGCTAAAATTGGGCTGCAGGTGAAATTTGGTACAAAAAAACATAGAAATAATGACAGGAAATTGGAAGAGGAATGGAGCAGGAATTACACCCAGAGGGATTTTGCTTTTCCAAATTTTCCCCCTGGGATTTGGGATCAGACTTATTTGTATGTGAGGGTTGGGAAACACAAAAACCTCCAAAGTCTGAGGGCAGGAAACAGCTGCCCTGACACCAGGAACTCTCTGTTTCGGGTCATGTTTATTTTTGTGGCCAGATTCTCGATTAGCAACATTTTTTCTCGTTCCTTATTTGAGAATATTTTTGTATCAGCAGYGAGGGAGCCAAAATGCAAAAATCCACCTGGTGAGGCCTGGTGAGGCCTATCCCAAACCGGCTTCTCTTGAGGTATTTTTAAGATATTATTTTAGGCACAAAGCCATTAAACACTCTYAGAGGGTACCAAAAAACACCTCAAAATCCTCATTTTTCCTCTGGTTATGGAGGAACCCGCTGAGCCAGCCCAGAGATGAGGAGAAAGTTGGGAGGGGACACATCAGGGAAAGCTGAGGGGAAAATGGAGATGTTTATTGTTGGCACTGAGGAAATGGAGGAGCTGCCCTCTGGCTGTGGTTGTTTGGCTCTTTTCCTGCCTCAGGAAGGGCTGGAATTTGAGGGAAAAGTGAGAAAATCCATGGAAYGAGGGAGATGAGCTGAGGGTTGTTGTTTCCAAGCCCCCACAACTGTTCCCTTCCCCCCACAAAAGGATCAGGGAGAGAGTTTTGGTTTTTTTTTTTTCCCAGTGGGATCAGGGAGAGAAGTGATTTTTTTTTTTTTTTTTTAAATTTATTAAGGCTGGTGATGCAGGTGAGTATCTCCAAAGGCAGAAGGATGTGGCTCCTCAGCTGTAGTACATYTTCAGGTAGGCCTGTCTTCCCTGATTTTTCCGGAAGTTTTTATCCATAGTCAACTAAAAAAATCAATTTTTTCATGAATAACAATGACAGTGCTCCAGAAAAGGAAGGTATGAGACTTAAATCTGTTCTTTAAATGAGATTTTCTTTCCAGCACAGCCCCACAGGGAGGCCCTGCTTTACTCCCTCTAGGCGTGGAAACTTCCAAAGAAAATTCCTAAATAAAAGGGRTTTTTGTAAACAGGCATTTTCTGAGAGAAAATCACTTTGTATCTTGTGCCTCAGGCAGGAAAATATACCAAAAAATAATGAAAATATGAAGGGGAAAAGGAAATTTCCTCTCTCAGAAGCAGCAGAGGATAACAAAACATAATGAAAATGGGAAGTAAAAAGGAAATTTTATCTCTCAGGCAAGAAAGAATAACGAAACACGGTGCAAATAGAAAGTAAAAAGGAAATTTCCTCTCTCAGAAGCAGGAGAGGATGAAAAACCAGGGAAAATGGGAAGCAAAAGGGAAATTTCTGTTCTCAGAAGCTTTGAGGCAGAAGAGGATGATGAAATATAGTGAAAATATGAAGTAAAAAGGAAATTTCCTCTCTCAGAAGCAGGAGAGGATAACAGAACATAACAAAAATGGGAAATAAAAAGGAAATTTCCTCTCTCAGAAGCAGAAGAGGATAACAGAACATAATGAAAATGGGAAATAAAAAGGAAATTTCCTGTCCCAGAAGTTTTCAGGCAGGAATGACAACCCCTCATCCCTGTCCTTACCTTCTGGACCTCCATCTTCACCATCCTCTGGGGTGGGGGTGGCACTGCAGCCCAATCGGGAGCCCCAAATTTCATCGGCCAAGTGACTTTCTTGTTCAAAGGTTGGTCTATGTTGTAAGTCCCAGGCCTAAAGGAGACAGGCACCAGAGATCTCGATTTTGGAGTGGGTTTTTGTGTCTGTAAATACAGAATTTACCTCCACAGTCAGCTAAAAGGCAAYTATTCATTACCAGCAACAATCATGTCTGAGAAAAGCAAGATATGACCCAAAGCATCAAGAACCTCGACCTGGGTTTTGGAGCAGTTTTTGTTTCCAGGGTAAGATCCATGGGAATTCCATGCTGTGGTATCCCAGTCATTATCCTAAACTAAACCCAAAT